GATTGATATGAATGAGACATCTTATGTTATTAGAATTGAGATTTTTAGGAATAGATCTCAATGATTACGAGGATTGTCTCAAAAAAAGATATATTAACTGAGACTTACAGAGATTTAGTATATAATTCTATTCAGCAAATTTTAAAACTAAACATTTTAATTAAAATAAATATTTTTAAAATGACTTGGAGAAAATTAGATAAAGAAAAATATTCTTTATGTATGTATAGCTGGAAGTTTGCTCAAGCTTATATTAGATTATATCTTAATTTTATAATTGAAATACTAGGTAGATATTAGAGTTACCTAGGAATAAAAACACTAAAGGACCGTAAAGAAAATAATAAAATATCTAGAATAAATAAAGGATTATATGCTTAGATATATGAAATTAGATCAACTTGAAATGATGATATTTTCAAGTGTTGATTCTATAAATTGCCTTGATAAATAGGAAGTTTATTTTATAGTTTATATTTATATCTATTAGAAGGATAATTTATAGGAAAAAAATATAAAATAATATATTATTTTATTCTTAATAACATATGTTGATTTTATGATATGCTTTGAAGCCACTAATTAAACTTTATGACTGTGAAGTTTTATCTCAAAACTTATGTTACCAAACTTAATTATCAAGTCGTTGAAGATACTTTGTGACATATTGTAATAGCTTTCTTCTCTAAAAATGACAAGTACTGTTGCAGCTCTATGCATTATGATATAAAATATTTGATGATTAAAAAATTAAGTCTAGAAATAATTAATATCAATTAATAACTTAAGTTTTATTGTATTAATTACTGATCTATTCACTTAGGCTTACAACCTAAAGTGTTTGAAAGAACATATTTTTATAATTGAGTTTACGAGCAACCCATAAAAGATATGATAATATATGTTTGAGTGGGCATTATTAATTGATATTTTTATTTGTGTACTTAAAGTTATTTATTTTTATTATTTTATTCATATATATATATATATATATATATATATATATTATG